GGGCAGGAGGCTGAAAAGATCCTGGACCCCCTCAAGAGGGAGGAAGTGGGCAATTATCTGGGTTTCCAGGTTTGGGACTTGAGTTCTTACTATCTCTGGAGTCAGGGTCTGAGGCCCTGGCCTAGGTCAGGGCAGTTCAGAGTAGAAGTACTGAGGACTTGAGCAGAGGAGCTAGGCCCTCCCTGCCTTGATGAGACAGAGACAAGGGCACTGTGGGTGGCCTGGGGGCCAGAGACTTCAGGAAATGAGGAGGATGCCAGAGCAGTGGTGGGCACACTGGAGCCAATCCACATCAGGGTATCTGCTGGTGGCCTCATCCCATTTACAACCCTAAGATTTTGAGGGTCAGCACAGCCTCAGTCACATGTATATTCCCTCTACCCTTTAGCCCTGGGCCTTACAGAAAGTAAATGCTCACCAAGCACTTGGACTTGTTGCCTGGTTGAGAGGGGGAACATCTTCCTGCCAGAAAGCCTGGAGAAGAAAGGCACTTGCTAAAGCACCAGGGGGCATTTCTGTGGTGAGGAACTAGGATGAGGGAGAGGCTCAAAGGAAATTCCTGGGGCAGTAGGGCTGCACATGGGGTCTTTGGGAGGATGAGAACATGTAATGATGGCCCCCAAACAGGGTATTAACCCTCTCTGTGACCCCCAATGCCTGTCAACAGAGCTAGCCATGCTTCCTTGCTTCCTGGGCTGCCCTAAAGGGTGAAGGGAGGCCAGGCATCCAGGTGTCTTTGGTGGCTTTTAGGGCAAAGGTGGCCCACCCTACATATGCACTGGGGAGAGCACTATAGGACACCCCTCATGTGTGTTCCTCTGCCCTGTGCCTAGCAGTGAGAGATGATGTCTAGTGTGGGGCTGAACCCTTGGGGTCTCCCTGGGTTGGACTGTGTTCTCCATAGTGGAGACCAAGGAGGCTCAGTGTTTACCAGCACTCTGTACATACTTCACCCCACCGAGGGCCATCCTCAATGGAGGCTGAGTGTTGCCTCTGTCAAGGCCTGCCCACCACAATCCATTGGCAGATAGGTGGCAAAGAATCCCAAGAGTACAGTGCCCCAGCCTGGGTGTATCCAGGCTACAGAATGTTGTAAGTCCTAGACAGGTTGCCTGCTGCCTACCCAGCTCTGGCATGTGTGCTTTTGGTAAGGTGTGGCCCAGACTTTGGAGCCTGCTCAGGGCTGGTCCCTGCAGCCCCACCTTATACACTCTGAGGTCGCTTTCCAGGCTTAGGAGTCAGGACAGCATTTCAGTATTGCACTAGACAGGAAAGTCCACTGTAAGCATGGGGGGAGGGCGGGGTTGGGATAGCATCAGGGAGAGTAGGTATGCAGAAAATTTGCTTTGAGCTGCTTTCTCGTTCCTTCCATCTGGAGAGTGGCCTGTATAGTAGCTGGGCCCTATGGAACCCAACCTTGCCCAGCTTCTTTTTCAACATTTACCCACCACTGATCCATAATAACTCAATCCCAAAAAGAAGAGTGAGGGGTTCCTGAGAACTGGGATGGAAGCCTGAAATAACCTACCAGGTTCCACAGCCAGGTAAAGCACAGGATCTACTTTCCAGGATACCAGTGCTGACATGGAGAGAAGACAGCAAGGCCCCCCCCCCCCCCCAGGGATTGAAAAGGGATAGGGCCTGTGGAGGGAAGCAGACAGAGGGCTTCCTGGAGAGAACAGTGCAGGAGCCAGGCTTTGCAGGATCTGATGTGCAGGAGATAAGAACTGAGGCCCAGAGAGGACATTGAAAGACTGCCTCAGGATATCCCCAGCACTCCACAATGGCCCCTGTAAACTAGATGATTTCAGTGTGCTAAGGTTCCCAGGGCTGGGGGAGGCAGCACTGGGCATCTCTTAAAGGATACCAAGGAGATAAAGTTACCTGATGCAAGAAGAAAATTGTCTGAGCCTTACTCTGGGCCATGCATTGTTCCAAGCACATATGTTACTAGGGTATTTCAATGTTATTGCCATATGACTCACTGTGGGATATCTACTTAATTTTATAGAAGACTGCAGAGATAAGGGGCACACCTGTAAGGAAGAAGGTACTTATAATCCACCACCCCACCTGCCTCTTTCTAGGTCAAGGTAGAGAAAGGCAAGGGCCAAAGCACTGTTCTTGACTGATCAGCCATCCACAAGGACAACCACTCAGAACTGGGAGAACCACGTCTGAGCAGCACTGCCCCAAGGGTGCTGACTCTGCCCATTCTGTGCTCTCTGCCTCCTAGGCCTTTCTACCTGGGCAGACCTCCTTCCCCTTCTCTCCTCAGAGAGACTTCTGACTCACAGCCATCCTGTCCTTGAAGTTGGCTTCAGCTGTGTTTTCCAGATGATACCAAAAGGATTCATATGCTTTAGGCTCCAGAGGTAGGGCTGGCACCTGAGCTGGCAGGCAGCCTGGGAGGGTAGGGAACTGCCAGGGAAGTGCTGTGATCCAAGGCCAGGCTGGGTCATTCCACCCTAGTAGGAGAAAAGGATTGCACAGGGCCAAGTCTCAATCAAATCAACTTTGGTAGGGCAATTGGTGAAAAGAGACAAAGAGGTCTGCCTGGGGTCGGGAGGCAACTGCCCTGGCTTTTTGTAGTGGATGCACCAAACGGTTATGCATCCCACGTGAGAGGCAACACCACTCTGAGCCTGTTTCCTCATCAATAAAATAAAGCTTTTACCACTGGATGGTCTATTTAGCCTAATGGAGTTGGGAGGAGGGGATAACCAAGACTTGGGCGATGGTGGAGGAAGAGGGGTAAAGGAACCGGTCCTCCCCACCCACAGTCAGGGTTTTGGAACGCTTCTGCCCCCTAGTGGTGGCTCAGAGTAAAAGACTCATGGTCTGGGAACATCACACTGGTAATTCTGTCTCCCCTGCTTCCTGTGGCTTTCTTATCAGGTCAGAGGGGAGAAAGGGAGGGAGCACTCTTGGGGTTCTTTGCCACCTATCTTCCCCTTCAGGGCTGTGTGCATTCTGAGTGGACAGAAAGGCAGTCACAGCCTTGCACAGAGTACCCGTAATGATGCATTGCATAGTGCTGGCTATTTATTTCCATATTCATTCTGCAGGTGATGACTGAGGCTCTGCAGCATGAGGTGGCACTGTGCCAGGCCCTGGGGATCTCAGGGCACTTGGCACATTATTCTTGCCCTCAGAAGGCCTCTGTCTAATCGGGGAGCAGACAGGCAGACTGCAGTTCTGGAGAAAGTGGTGGAATGTGGGGGCTGCTCAAAGGCATGGCATATTGTGTGAGTAACACTTGGAAACACGTGGTCAGCAACCGTGGGTTTTGTCTTGACTGTGTTTGTTCAGGGCACATAGCCTTCAGCTCGATGGCTGGAAAGTTTTTGGGACATCTTCCTGCATCCCTTCCAGAGAGCTGGTCATTCTTTCTGCAGGATAGCCAGATTGTCTGTGCCTGCTGTTCCTCTGGCCAGGAACAGGGTCTGGAAGGGACAAAGACTTTGCCTCATTCCTGCAGTATGTCTATATCCTTCTTACCTAGACCTGATCAAGGAGCTAAAGTTTCAACAAGGATGGATAGCATTAGGTGTCTCTCCCAAAACAGCTCTGGGGACCCTCCTAGCTAAACAATACACAGTGGGGGCGGGAGGCAAGTAACGGGAAACTTGGGACTTCTGGAGGTTTGTGGGGCTGACTGAACTCAGCAGCATTTGTAGGGCAGGGTACAGAGAAATAGGAGAGAGAGAGAGAGAGAGAGAGAGAGAGAGAGAGAGAGAGAGATTGAAGCTGAGGAGCCTGGGTGCGTCACTGTTGCTGGGAAAGTAGACAAGTCTGACTCAGTGGGAACATCCGGCAGGAAGGGAGGAGGGTACACAGTGGCATTTGCAAGCAGGATGGGATGGGAATGCTGGGGCTGCAGCGATGGGGTGTGGGGCAGGGGTGAAGACCTAGACAGGAAAGGAACTAAGGGTGGTAGCAAGAGTAGTGTAAGAGAGGGGAGGGCAGTGCCAGAGAAAACCTCTGGCTGACTGTTAGTCTGGGAGAAAAGAAGGCACTAGAGCTTTCTCTAGGGACACAGAGGGGATAGGTTGTAGTGAGGGAAGAGAGCTGAGGCCTAGTCAGTCAGGGACATGGGAGAAGTCAGAATTTGTGACCCTCATTTCAAGTGCTGAAAGTCAGGGACTCTAAGGACTGAGCCTGACCTAGGCACTCCTGATATAGAGAGAGCACCATTCTCCCCAAAGCCCAAACCTCGTACCCTAGAAGGCTCAAAGGGGAACTGCCAGCAGGATAGCCCCTGAGCAGGGAGACCAGCTTCAGCCCTGTGACAACTACTGGGTACAGGCCTTCCTGAGAAGGGCTGTGTCCTTCCTTGAGGTCAGAGAGGCTGGAAGGGTCAGCCCAGGAGGGCAAGGCAGGAAAAGGCCCTGCGAGAGGATACCAAAGGAAGATGGTTGCTCTGAGCTGCAATGCTAAGGGCCCTAGAGGAGGTTCATGTCAGTATACCAAGGGGCTAGAGGCCTAGAGAGTTGGGCCTCCAAAGTGGCTGTGCTTGCAACACAGAGAAAACAGTGTTCAACTTCAGGGAACAAATGACAGAATAGCAGCATTTTAGGACTGTGGTCATGTGTGATGGCCTGAGGAGCTGAGCTTCTCACTCCTATCCAAGGACTTAAACCAATGCTAACTGGACAGCCAGCAGGAGAGCAGAGGCATGCCTTAGGTGGGACTCTCAGGTGACAAAACCTGCATCCTATGACCTTTTTCTACTAAAGGAGAGACAGAGGCCTCTGCTGGCCACCTATCCAGACTGCAGGCAAGCACAGGCTAGAGTCTTGCTGGGGCTCAGGACCACAGGTGAAGACAGGCCTTGAATGGCTAAGCCTCCTGGGGATGCTGAGGCAAGGCAGGGAGAGGTGCTGGGCAAGACCAGCCGGCTGCGGTGCCCTAGTCCTCGCCCTCTGAAAGTGGAAGGGTGGGGGTGGCGGTCAGGCGTTCCTGGCTAGGAGCCCAGATCAGTCTTTTGTAATCACAACATGATCTCTTGTGCTGAGCAGCAAAGCCGGCTGGTGAGCAGAGAAAGGCTGACAGAGGCCCAGCTCCGGTGGCTCCAGCTTCCCTACAGCTCTGGGTCCCCTAGGGACTGTTCTGGAATTCTCTCAGTGCCTGCTGTCGCCATGCATTCGGCTGTGAGTGGCACCTTGCCTTTGATAGGGGCTTCTTGAGGCTGGGAGGGGGCTGAACTACTAAACAGTCACATTCCCGGGACAGCTGGTGACAGCTGCGCCTGGGAGGAAGAGGGCCGTGATGAGGCAGGTGGTGGTCTGGGCAGGGTACTGGCTGAAACACAGACAGGGAGGGACCTCAGATCTCAACGCGGACATGGCTTACGCAGGGTGGATCCTGGCTGGGGCTGTTATGGAGCTGCTTGCTCTCTCACTGCACAAGCCAACAACTCAGGCCTGGAGGGCTGAGCCTATGGGAACGGCTCTCTTCTATGGGCTGGGCACAGGCCTGGGGAGCAGGGTCCAGCACCTTAGAGGCCAGGACCAAGCTGTGGCCTGTCTTTTTGTGTGTGTGGTTCTGGGTTTGTGAGGCAAACAGTCTCCCCTCGACCTCCTGAATCCCCTGGCAGCTTCCCAGTCACAGCAGGTTTTGCTGCCAGAGCCATTTTTAACTCCCATTCCAGGCTGTGTTCACAGCAGAGCTCCCTGGAGAGCCAGGGGGAGGGGCAGCCTGCTGCTGGGAGCTGCAGCCCTGGGTATGAGGCCCTGACCGGAACCCCCAAAGAGGCAGAGAGGTAGGCTGACAGTCCTCATTGGAATGGGGCTTGGGGCCTTCTATAGGCCGTCTTCTCAAGGAACCCCCTTCCCTTCTGTGTGCTTTAGCTTAGGCCTGAGGCCTAGTCCTTAGGTGGGAATGTGAGACTTGGGGCAATTGTAAGCTTGGGTACCCTGTCTCCTACAGGTGCCTCACAGAGCCAAGTCTATAATGCACAGGCACGAGGAGAAGGATGCTGAGCTAGACCGCAGGATAGTTGCCCTGCGCAAGAAGAACCAGGCCTTATTGCGCAGGTACCAGGTAAGTGGGCTACTAGAGAAGAGAGGACCCCCATAGCTGGTGGCCCTGGCTGCCCTCAGATGCCTGCCTACACAGGAGCTTCTCTCTAAAGGTTCTAGACCATGGCTCTGGGCTCTGGCCCAGGGTTGGGGTGAGCACAGTCTCAGAGGTATGGTCAGGGTCTTGGACACTGGTGATGTGGTACCTCTGCCCCCTGGTGTCCCATCTGTGTCTCTCTGTATAGGCCTGTCAGCGTGTGTGTCTCTGTGAGCCTGGGGGGCCATGGCCTTGCTGACCCCAGGCCCTCCCACAGGAGATCGAGGAAGACCGTCGGCAGGCAGAACAGGGGGGCATGGCTGTGACCATGCCAGGACTCCTCCAACCCAATGGCCTCACTGTCACCATCAGCCAGGTTCCTGGGGTAAGCCTCATTCTGAATATAGGGTAGGGTGACAGGGTAGAGGCACAGTTCATGCCTCGGGTATACAATTACTCTCCCTTTTTTTCCTACTTGCCTTTCTGGGTGCCTCAACAACTCCTCAACAATCAAGCCACTGCTATCCTCCCAAAGGGCTACACATGAAAGGCCATCAAAAAGAAGCCTTTTCGTGGTCTTTTTTTTTTTTTTTTTTGTCTTTTTGAGACAGAGTTTCCCTGTAGCCCCAGGCCTAGAACTCACTATGGAGAACAGGCTGGCCTTGAACTCACAGAGATCTGCCTGCCTCTGCCTCCCGAATGCTGGGATTAAAGGTGTGTGTCCGGCCTTTCATAGTCCTTTTAGCCCCAGAGCTCTGTACCTGTGCCCTAAAATACTGGCTACCCTTAACCCCCAGAGCCAGGGCTGAAACCCAGCAGAAGCAGGGTACAGGGAAGCCAGGGCTGAAGGAACAGTCCCCAAGAGACAAGACAGAGATCTGCCTGCCTCTGCCTCCCGAATGCTGGGATTAAAGGTGTGTGTCCGGCCTTTCATAGTCCTTTTAGCCCCAGAGCTCTGTACCTGTGCCCTAAAATACTGGCTACCCTTAACCCCCAGAGCCAGGGCTGAAACCCAGCAGAAGCAGGGTACAGGGAAGCCAGGGCTGAAGGAACAGTCCCCAAGAGACAAGGCCCCATTGTCTTGTGCTCTGGATTTCCCAGCTCAGAGATGACAAGCCCTTGTGGCATCTTGTGTCCCTGGGGTGGCCCAGGGCCCTGGATAACCTAATGCCACTGGCATGTGGACTCCTAAAGGACCAAACATCTCTGGCATTCCTGGGAGGGCCAGGGCTAGAACCTAAACCTAGGAAACTTCCCAGAGTACCCAGAATTCAGGTCCTGCCCAGTATTTCCCAAGTGGTCTGAGGACACAGGCCCCTCACTCTGCAGGAGAAGCGGGTGGTCAGCAGGAACTGGGCCAGGGTGCCCCTTACATCTGGAGTGACCAATGAGCTCTTGGATTATGAGGATGCTGCAGGCCCAACGGGTGCTTTCTTCATGGGGGACCGGGTGGAACTGGCTGTGACCATGGAAAACAAAGTAAAGGTAAGCTGGTAGGGGTCTCCAGACCCCAGGAGGGCATCCTCCTCTCCCTTAGCTCAGCTGTGATCCCATCTACACCTTCCCCAGGCCAAACGGATCGTAAGTGAAAAGCCCACCACCCAAGCAAGGAACCAAGGGGCAAAGGCATCACCTGGAGGAGACTGGGGCCGGAGTCCCCGCCTGCAAACGACCATCAGCTCTGATTCAATAGGCAAGGTACGTCTTCAAGGAGTGGTGGCAGGAATCGGCAATCTCCATCTGGAGGAGGCAGAGAAGCTGGGTCACGTAGGTCCCTCATTTGTGGGGACCTGACCTAGGCACCACCTATGAGAAGTCCTACCCTCTTCCCCTTCTCTGTCCCGTCTCCACTTTGGATGGGTCTTACAGTGAAAGAGGGTTTAAGCCAAAGGTGATCCAGCCCCCTAACCCTGACTAGCCCTGACAGTGTCAGAGGGATGGGAGGGGCTGAAAAGGGTGGAGGGGACTGGCTATGTGCCAGCTGTGACCTCTAGGTGGCAGCAGCCCCTCATCCTTGTTCTTGCTCACGATCTCTGAGTGCCCCTCCCATCCTGGGCCAGTCTACACACTCCAGCAACAGGAGATGCCTCATTTACCAGATGAGGAAATGATACACAGGTAGGTTAAGTTATTTGGCCCCAACACACAGCTAACAAGTGGATGGAAGGAAACAGTCCACGCAAACACTATATGATGGAGATGCGACAGACCTAATTTTCAGACAGAGATGTGGAAACCTTGAGAGAGGAGGGGGCCAGAAGACTCTCAAGAGCTCCACTCCAATCCTCTTCTTACTTCTGCCCCACAGTGCTGTCTTCACCTTGCAGGGTGCTCAGGAGCCCCGGAGTCCAGGCACGGTTCCAGGCCCAGCTCCCCAACAACCAATGGGGTTGCCCCGAGAGGTGGGCTGGGACTATGTACAGTGGAAGCAGGAGCGAGAGCAGATTGACCTGGCCCGTCTGGCCAGGCACAGAGATGCACAGGGTGACTGGAGCCGCCCATGGGACCTGGACAAGGCCAAACCCATGTGCGTGGCAGGGCTGGGCAGCTCACTGGGCTGCGTGCTTGTGGGACTGGGGTAGAGCTAATCATGGGTACTACTTGGAGGGAGAAGAACTGACTGGGAACCCTGGGCACAGGGTTCTAGGTGGCTACTGAGTGCCCGTCTTTTCTGGACCCACCGACTTTGTGCTATCTTCAGTTCTAGGGTCAGGGGAGGCAATGTTAGGCTGAAGCCTGTTACAGCCTCTCTCCTCCCTGACACCAGAAACCAGACACCTTCCTCTGTCTTCACAGGCAACAGGACTGCAGCAAGCATAGGGACAAGGGCCTGACCACGGGCAGCAGAAGGGGTGAGCCAACACCCACCTCACGTCCTGTACCTTGGTTGTTGTTTTGTTTTGTTTGTTTGTTGAGACAGTCTTAGCTCGGGCTAGCCTGGAACTCTTAATCCTTCTGGCTCACCTGGGATTCCACCCTTCTCTTTTCTGTCTCTTGATTTCTTCTTTTCAAAGATGAAAGGAAGCATGGGAAAATGCCTTCCTTTCCCTCCTTCCTCTCCTACATTATCAGCCCTCTCTGCCTGCCCTCTGAGTCTCAGCTCTGGCTGGATTCAGTGGGAGTTGCCCTGGGGTCTTTCCAGGCACTGGTCCTTGTGAGGTAAAAATCCTAGTGACCTTCCCTGGATGGCATGGATCTCATGGCCCAACAAGCTAACTAGGTCACCTAGCTGAAGAGTGTACAAAACAAGTCCAGGACCCCAGGCCAACCAAGGCTTTTGGGGGGGTGGTAGGGTGGGCCTTGAGGGGGAAGTAGGCAAACCCACAATGGAATCCCTGCTGGTAGCTTCCTGGTGCTACAACTGGTATTTCTGTTTCGGATCCTTGGATACCATACTCTCTCCCCATGTTCTCTTCCCTTTAGGTCCTAGGTCCCACCAGAAGCTACAGCCCCCTCCATTATCTCCCAGTGGAAAAGGTGAGTTGGAGGAGGAAAAAGAGCAGGGGCCTTTCAGCTGGTAAAGGTCCAGCTGCTATGGCTCTCTGTTCTACTTGATGTGTGAATTGTGTTTTACAGGTCAGGGTGGACAACCTGGCAGACCCTTGGTGGCACCCACTATAGGCAGCAAAGCCCGGGGGAAGGAGAGGTTGACTGGCAGGGCCCGAAGGTAAGAGACAAAAATCAAGGCAGGCACTCAGGTGTCCTAATTTCTAGGACTGGCCCAGGTCCCCTTGTTCTGTTCCCATGGCCCCAGTCTCTTGGCTGCTTTGGTGCCTGCTACAGGTTAATGAGAACTGAGAAGGGCCGCCAGCAGAGGCAGTGGCACCGAGGGCCCGGCACCCAGAGAGGCTGCAGTAATTACATCAGCTACCTTGGGGGTGGGGGGGGGGTGTGCCTTTCCCAGGCAGAGCATGCAGGGACATGCCTAGAATCCCCACAGATCTCAAGGTGCAGCAGGCTTGGCCATAAACAGCAGCTGGGGACCCAAGATGGGGCCCAGGTGAGTGGTGTTTAGAGGAAATGGCTGGGTTTGAGGATCAAGGTCAGACTGGAAAGTAAGCATTCTGAAGTCTCATTATGGCTCTGGTCCCACTCTGAGAACCACTGGGCTTTTAGCTTTCTCCCTGGGGAACATGGGCCACCAGCTCTGAAGGGGGTTACTTGAAGTAGGGTGCAGTTAGGCATAGGACCTGCCACATGCTGTCTCTTCAGGTGCGACATAAAAGAAGATGAGAAGCTGCTGAATCAGGAGGTGGGTACTTGGGCTTAGGATAAAGCAGGCTGGGGACAGGTGCCTCAAATTTACCAACCAGCCAGACTATGCTTCTGTTTCAGGGAAGCCAGAGCACCATGGGGACTCCCAGTGCAGAGGAAAAGCACGCACAGAAGCAGAACGAGATGCAGCCAGGCAGACAGGAGACCACTCCGGCAACCAGCCTGGCCCTGGCTTCACCAGAGGGGCTAAAAGGGGAGTCCGAAACCTCCATAGCCAGTTTGGGCCTAGATGCTCCACAAAATCTCAACTTGGCTCCCCTTGACCTCTCTCTAGGAGGAGCTAGCAGCCCCAGGCCTGGAGAAAGCACATGTATACCTAGTCCATGTTCTAGGGCCCAGGAAAGTCCAGTAATCTGGCCAGATGGTTCTGAGCAGCAGTCTCGGGAGTGGAATGACCAGACTTACGCTGGTCCACAGAGAGAAAGTAGGGTCTCAGAGCCCAAAGAAGACAGGCCTGGCAAGTTTGGGGCCCAGCAGAGCCTGGCCCCAAGAAGCAGGCCTCTCAGAGGAACTGGCCAAAGGGCAAGGGGCACAGGTGTAAGGAGCAGGACAGGAGGTCCTGGGCCTGCAGGAAGATGCTAAACAAAGCTCATGGGAGTTGAGGAGCCAGGCTGGGGACAAGAGGGAAGAACTCAGTTAAGAGTCTGTGTGGTGGGAGTCTGCCTGCTGGTGGCTTGTGCCTATCTAGTTGAGCAGTGTGGCAAACTTCAGCAGAGCCACCATGTGACGGCAAGGAACTATACCCTTCCCTGTGTCTCCTATGCACATCCCTGTGTACATGCAGGTTTTATGTGTAGGCAAGGACCCTGGTGACCTGTGTTAGAGACTGGTATTCCTGACCTGGGCCTACTGCTTGTCTAGACTGTAAATCTTTCCCACCAAGCAAGATTTGGTAGTACCTACCACCTGCCTCTCCTGGTTCCTGTCATCTCTCAGGACCAGGTCTCCCTCCCTAGCCACAGCCTTCAGGTTCCTCAGACAGGCCCTAGCCCTTTCTCAATACCCATGCCTTTCACCCAGGTGACTCAGAGTCCTGGTCTCCCAGGATGGCCAAACCATGGCTGTTTCAGCAATATTCCTGAGACCCAGAGAAAAGGAGATCCTCAGCTAGTAGGAACTGATTAGAGTGGAAGAGTGGAACTCAGGCCTTCCTGGGTAAAGGAGACACCTGGAAGGTCTCCTAACTAAACTGGGGTGGGCTCACCCTATTCCCATAGGAGAGTGAAAGAGCTTTCTAGCAGGTTCTGAGTCCCCGCCGCTCCTTGACCCCAGGTCAAGAATCATAGGCACTCTGAATGGACCCTGCAGCCCAGGATCATAACCTGCCCTTTCCTTCTTCCCCACCTCTCTCACCAAAGCCATGCAAAAGCAAGCACTCAGAGACAGAATAGCGACTCCAGCTAAGTACGACATTAGGACTTGTCTTTCCAACTCAATCTCCATTCCGGCCCCTCCCATGAGGCCCACGTCTGGTGAATTATCCAGACTCTGCACAAGCTGTGGCTTCCTTTCAATACAACAAACATTTCCTGAGCACCCTCTCCCAGTAATCCAGCCAGTGGGCGAGGGTGACTCTGCCAGCAGGAGGAAGGGAAGAAACTCAAGTCATCCGGCAGCTCAAGGCTGAACAGCAAGAGCTGTTCTCATCTGTAGGTGCCTGGTGGCCCTGGGCATGAAGAGGTTAGGAGCCCCAAGAGACCCACCCTACCTCTGCTCCTCTCTTTTGATATGACACATACCCTCTGCTCCCAGGCCCAGGTGTCTGGAATGCACCACGCAGCCCCATGCTCCCCTTCTCTTTACAAGAGTAATGGGCTTCACACCATTCTCTGAGGCTCTGGTAGAGGTCCAGGTCATCTCTATCCTTTCAAGAAAGGCCTGAAACGTGAGTTTCCAGCTAGGCTTTCCTCACTGGCTCTTGACTCTACCGTACTCCCTCTACTGAGGCAGGAGTGACTTCAGCAGATCAGGTTGTTTAGAGAACTCCTCTGGTGTTTCCCTGTGATGAGTGGTGCAGATTGAACTCAGTGGATATGGGAAAGACCTGAGAGTTTGCAGGCCTGGTATGCTGCTTCCTAGATTGTACCTTTTGAAGAGTTGAGGTCTAGACTCAAGTGTGTGAAGGGTTCAGGTGAGGGCAGAATCTAGATTCTAAGGGCAAGTTGCAGGCTGTGCAGGGGCCGGTGGAAGGGGCTTCTTGGACTTAGAGGCTCTGGAGAAGATTCTTCAGGTAGCAGATAGTGGAGCACCCAGAGGAAGCTGGCCAGGGATGTGGCAGGGTAAAGGGGGTGGAAGAGGTCAGAGTGGTGAGAGGAAGTTTAGAAAGGCATAGAAATATTCCTATACATGTGGAACGTGCCTGGGTCAGAGTGAATCCTCCAAGTTCAAGTTTTTCCTCTTGCCTTTCAGTCTTAAGTATATGACTTTGGAGTGTCGCAAAGACTCTGGAGCCCATGACTCCCAAAAGAAGGGACTGGAGTACAGCAGGTACAGGCAGAGCCCTTGAATTCAGATGTGATCTTTTGTTTTGTTTTGGGTTTTGCTTTGGTGACTTTTTTTGTTTGTTTTAGATAGGGTCTCCCTGTGGCCCCAGCTGGCCTGGAACTCGCTATGTAGACCAGGCTGGTCTCAAACTCAGAGATCTGCCTGCCTCTGCCTCCTGCGTGTTGTAACTAAAGGCATGTGCCATCATGTCTGTCCTGTCAAATATGATCTTGATTTGAATTCTTGGGTGGGATGGAGCCCAGTTGTAGAGTCCATTCTCAGCATGCATGAACACCCTGGGTCCAATTCCCAGGACATCAAGAGATGGATGAAGAGGGAGAGGGAGAAGAGGGAGAGGAAAAGACAGAGGAAAAGAAGAAGATTCACAACTTGCCTTCCAATCCCTGATGCTGCCAACTGTATAATGTGCCTTCATTAAACAACATAGGCCAAGGCATGTTTGACCTCAGGTTGAGGATGTAGAAATTGGGAAGAGTTCTGGTTCAGCCCTAAAGAGTCCTAAGCAGAAGAAAGAGCTTACCAGGAGGGCTGAGAGGAGGACGGGGGAGCTTATCTTCATGGGCAGCAGCCAGAAGACTGTTAGGGGGAAGGATACTACTCTAGAGGGTTGGAAAGACTGGAGACCAGCACAGGACATCTTCATTGCAGAAGACTGCAGTGTCGGCAAACACCACCAAGTTTTTCCTGAGAAAGGAGAGCTTTTCTCTGAGATAAGGGAAGCCCACAGCTATGGTGACACCTCCTAGCTATCTGTCCAGGTTGTGGTCACCCTGTTCTATTATGGAGCCAGCTATGGAGAAGGAGAAATTTGAAGTCAAAGTCAGGCATTCCTCTACAAACCTCAGCTAGGAAGAGCTGGTTGTACCTGACTTTTATGGAAGACCTGGCTGAGAGCTTTCCTTAAGGAAGCCCTTCTCTCTACTGGCTAGCCAGGACTACTCTTCAAAAGTGGCAGTCCTCATTGAACACAGTTCTGAGGAGCCAGGTGTAGGGTTGGAGGAGCTGAGCAAGGAAGGTACCCAGGAGAGGAAGGAACTGGCAGGGAGAAGACAGGTACCAAAGGCCTTGAAACAAGGATGGCAGAAGGAGTAGAGGCCTCTCCACCCTGGGTCATCTCACCTTGGCAGAAGGGAAATGGGGATCAGAGCATAAGAAAGAATGTGTTTTGATCACAGGCAGCACAGTAGAGTAGAACAAGAACACACCTCGAAGTCTGATAGACTAAATCTGAACCCTGGGCCTCCCTCCCACCTTGGTCAACTTTAACCTCTATAAGCCAGTTTCCTTATCTACAAAATGAGGCCAGCAGTACCCACCCTGAAGGGTGTTGTTGAGAAAACTAGAGTGTGCAAAATATACCCACAGGTAGTAGACTCTAGGAACAGTAGCCTGGAGCACAGAGACTATGTTGAATAAATGGAATGACTAATTGGTAAGATGTCTGTGTCTGGTTTGTTTTTTATCATTTCCTTGACTTTTTTCTTACTGGGGCTCAGTACTGTCTGAGGGAAAGGAGGGATGGGTTGTACCATTTGTTCGGCCCTCTAGGACAGACAGCTTCTTTACTTCCCTAGAGGGGGTGTCTAATGGACTGCTTTTGTTTTTCCAAGGAATACCCTTTGTCTTCACCCACTGGCTCCATCATTTTTTCCCCTGAACTCTGCAGGTAGCTTGCAAGCTCAAGAGCTTCCTCTTCTGTTTAAAACAGAAACAATCTCACAAATTCACACCACATTTTTGTTTCTTTAATATTTTCCTCAGAAGGCAACCCCCTATGGAGTTTCCTCTGTGAAACTCCCATAGTTAAGTTTTGCCACCCAAAGGAGCAACACGACTGTATTTCCTTTTGGCCAACCTCAGCTGTTTAACAAGGCACAAATTTGGAAGGTCTGACCCTGCCCTCAGGAACAAGAATAACCAGAAAAGATTGTACTAGTCCCGAAAAACACCAAGGAAACGGCAAATTTTCCATATGATCTTATCTTCTTTTGGGGGGGCAGGGGGCTATCAAGAGAGTAGAAATTGGGCAGGGGGTTATCAAGAGAGTAGAAAAAACTAAAGACACAATGTGCCTCGTGTCATTTATCAGTGTACAGACACCCACCAGCATTTCCTTTCAAGTTAGGGTTATCTGGGCTACTGGGGAAGGGCTGACAGCAGAACTCAGGCTGGGGAAGGTAAGGAGAGGAGCCAGCAGAAAGCCCAGACCGAGACTGCTTTCTCTCAAGTCTGCTGGGCCTACGTCAGAACTCTCATTAAGCATCCACTTGACGCCAGGGAGGTGAAATAATGCAGACCTGGCACCAGAGAGAACAAGTGTGGCACCCACTGCTCCTTTTAAGGACTGGCTGGAGAAGCAGCAGGCCCCAGGGCAGGAGGTGAGGCAGACACATCAGCACCTTTGAGGCAGAGGGAGGGGACTCTCAGCCTGCCTTCTTCTTAACAAGCTCTCCAGGGCACCTTCTCCTGCAACTGTCAAAAATAATGGACAATGTAGGCTTTTGCCTTTTTCTTACAAACTGGAGCCAGTGTTTCCTCTTCCCCCAGCTGTCTTCAAGGAAGCAAAAGAGCCAACAGTCACCTTGCTAACCAGCTGTCAAAACAGAAAGAGCCTAATCCTGTTACAAAACCAGGGAGAAATGCTGGACCAGTGGTCCTCCAACTTCAGTGTGTATCAGAATCACCTAGAAGTCCAGAGAAGACAGAAGGCTGGCCTCCATTTCTTGAGTTACTCTTCAGTGAGTCTGGAATGGGGTCTAAGATATCACAGTTCTACCAAATTCCCAGGTGATGCTGACACTGCTGATATGGGAGCTAATGTCATGTTTACTAGCTATACATTTCATGTTTACTAGCCTTCACATTTCTTTCCATGTGCTCGTTCCATGCACTCCTCCAAAAGGACAGACATTCTCTTGAAAATACATTACTTCATGTGTATATGCTGTACTTTTATTCCCAAGGTCTTAAAGCCCTTTCACATCTATTTCCTCCATTTGCTCTCATGACATGCTGTTTGGTTTGCAGAAAAGGAGGTCAAGGCCTTAGCAATGCTACTGCTGAGTTCCCTTGTTCCCTAACTTCCAGTTCAGGGTTCCCTTCTGAGAACACACTGCCTCCATACCCAGGTCCTAGTAATGGCACGAGCAGCTTATGGCTCGGAGATGAGCTTCTGCAACTTGATACTACCCAGCAGGCAGCTGAGGGGGACAGGTAGCCTCCAGGACACAGGTAGGAAGCGGCCTTAACTAATGACTATGAGCATGAGGAAGCAGAGGTAGGTATATTTAAAAGGAAATCGTTTCTGATGAACACAATTGCTTGTTTTTGAACAAGATTGTTTTGAGATTTTTGAAACTCACTTGGGACTGTAGCACTCAATAGTTACTGAATTAATGGTAATGGTTTATGGAATATTCCTAAGGATATTAAGCAGAATCTTAACTGCTGGTGGAAAAATTATCTCTGAAATTAGGAAAATGGGGCAGTTTAGCCACAGAGCATGACTATCAAGGCCAAGAAATATGTGGTAATTTTCTAGTCCCTTCCTAGTAGCTTAACCAAGGCTTCTAGAACCTGAATAGGGTACAGGGAAACTGACTTAGTGAGAATGCTCCTGACTGACCAGGTGACTCACATGTAAAGGAGATGGGAACCAGGTTTGTTTTGGAGTGAGGATGGACAGCCTGATAGAGTCTGTGTGTAGCAAAGAGAGGTTTTGTTTGTTTTTTTTAATGAGCTATTAGAGGGAACAAAAAGTGTAATATAGGCTTTCTGCAGCAGAAAACCACAGGCTGTGTCTGTGAGTGAAACAGATGTGACCAAAAAACTGTCAACCAAGTAGCTATTTTTGTGGTTTAACATTTGGGCTGGGGCAGAGGATACTATGAATGGACGGACTGCACAGCTTATGCTGCATTCATTAAGCACACCACCTAGAACATAGCTATGGACTTCTGGTACCTGGAAAGAGAAGGAAGTCCAAGCTAGGGTCCCTTAACATGAAAATAAAAAAACTTGAGTTCAGCGAGGTCATTGCAGCTATGGTTTGAACCAATTATGGGCTGTGGACATAGGTACATGAGTGGACCACAACAGGGGCACTTCAGTGACAGGCCAATCCCATCTAGCTTGATGACTACTCAGATGATCAACGGACTGAGTGCCAGGCACTCAGCACTGGTCATGAGCAAAAGCTACTGTAGTCCTTTTCTCCCCAGAGGGAGGCTAATTAAACAGAAGTACAGCTGTGGCCCTTTTGTTACTGAATTGCTATTCCAGAAATACCTCCATTTTCTGTAGACAGGAAAGGGAGGACAATTATTACTCTTTTAAATAGCTGTGGTAGCCCTAAAGCAAGGGACCTGACCTTTTGGCTCTCCTTAAAGCAGTATGTAGGAACAAGTAGATGCTCTGTGTTCAGCATTTCAAAACAGGATATAAATACTTGACAACAGAACACACTAGCTTAGAATTCCCCAGTGAAAACTGAAAAACAAGGTAGACAGAAACCATCTCCAAATTGTGATCTCATACCATGTAGAGAGACAGAGCTCCTACACAAGAAATACTTCTGCTTAAAACGTCAGGAAAACACTTCTTTGCACCAGAGCACCCAGGGAGGAAAGAGAAGACACCCTTACAAACCTATCTCAAGGGTTCCATACCTTTGAAAACTTCACATTCCCAAGAGGAGTCTTTTTCTTCAAATTCAGGCTGCCAGGGAATAAACACACATGGTAACTCTCAGTAAAAGCAAACACCTAGAAACTGTCCCAAGGCAGAGGAGCTGAAGAAAAGTAACTAACCCCTTTTGTACAGGTTTTCCTGGCTTAAAAACTTGGACAATGTTGCAGCTCCTTCCTATTATCTCCAAAGAAAGCTCTGCTGACCACCATTCCCAGCCAACTGGGCCCTGTTCTAATCAACCACTAGGCACTCACTGTACCTATTACTGTCTGTGACCAATGTGGGAAGCTGTGTGCAGCTGTGAAGCCACACATTCCCATCTGCAGAAAGGAGGGGTGGAGTCAAAGAGCCAGAAAACTCACTCTCCTACTCTGCCTTACCAAGCCCTCTCACAGAAGGCGATTGTGTAGGCTGAAGAGGAAAATAAAGGAAGGGCGGGCCTTTTTCCATGCCTCCCTGCAGTCTACAAGGTGATGTAAAAGCACAGTGGCTACCCCCCAACTGCTCTGTCGAAGTGCAGACCATGGGGGGCCCCACCAACGCTGGCTTCGCACTCCAGATTTATACTGGGCACTATTGTCTGATAATGAGCTGAGCTCAATTGCTTACCAGGTATTCTGCAGCATAACTAATCCCTTATATTTGTGCTTTTCACCCACATGTCTTTTTTGTTTGCTTTAAGGGGAGGAAAGAAACCTCACCTTTGAAGCAACCTACACCTCTCAGCAGCTTGGTTCCAGGGTAGACAGAGCTCTGATCAGTTAGTACAAATGCATGGATTTGTCTTCCCCACTGTTAAGACTTCCTTAGTTATCTAGAGGCCAGTAGTTTAAAGGTGAGAATGTGAATGGGGCACCTTTCCCTATCCTCAGCTAAAGGTTTGTAATTCAAACTTAAGATTCACAATTACTAGTCCTTTATCTGCTTAAGAGTCCCACAGGGTAGAACAATTCCCCCAGCTTTTTTAGGTTGGTAAAGGCTGGCTGAGCTGGTGTATTGCTGTTCTTCTGACCCCCACAATGGCTCCCCACAATGGCTTGTAGACTAAGATGGATCCTGCCACCCCTCACTATCTGTTCAGTTGAGCCATCAGACACTGACGACCCCAAGGCAATTGCTTTTTCCTCCTAAACCTATTTATCACCACCCATCCAACAGCATCTCAGACCACCTCTGCTCCTTCTCCATGAAGTCAGTAAGAGGAATAATCAACTTATACAGGCTTAGGCAGAGTTCTTAGAATGTATTTTTGTTCACCTGAAAAATAAAACTTTTAAAAAATATACAGGACTTTTAAAGTACAGGTATATCTTGAATGGCTGAATTATAAATAATGTCTCTGGTCATGATCACTGCTAGGGCTGGAGAGAATGTCCCAATTCCAGTGAAGGCTTTAGAGAGTTAGGAGGCCAGGTGGACCACAAGTGGCCTTGCGGAACTCTTTTGATTCATCCCAAAGTAGATTTAAACAGTCCAGAAAGCAGGGTCGAGAAGGGGATGGAGGACTGGACTCCCAGACTTTCTTCCACGAGTCCAAAGAATTCTTGTAATAAGAGATCAATTTACAAATTATTAAAATATAGGACTAAAAATTCACACCATAAATATAAATTACAGGCTATTATTGAAGTTATAAAGTGGTATTTTATGTTTCTTCTCCCAGTCTCTCACCAAAAATTTAAAAAGTCCCCGTGGGCCTCCTAATGACTGAAGTCCTAGTCAGCTGTGAAGAAATCGCCAAGCCCAGACACCTTGGGGTGTTATCCGCCTGAAGGGAGGCTGACAGCTTAGTTGCTTTTTTCTTGCCCAGGACACAACATGGCTTAAATCAAGACAGTTGTCCTGTAAACTTGAATCAGAGCTACACCAAGGTAGACCAGAAAACTGGAGAGTTTCAGGACTCAGGTGGGCAAGTTTCCTGTTTTGTTTTTTTAAGCACTTAATTTCCCAAAAAGGAAACACTAAGGGGTTTGATCTCTTGTCACTATTCACATTCAATTGCCTAAAAGCAAGTGGCAGGAGAAAATGGAATCCAAATCAAGGAAGTAAAATTCTTACTACCTCAGAGCTATACATGTATCATTTCCCTTGATGTTTGTCATCACCTCTAGAAAACTGTTGGCTGAATTTAAGTGGAAGCTTATCAGTAGTGATACTGCTTATCAGTAGTGATAGACAAGCCAGTTCAATCTTCCCTGGCTGGTCTCTTCACTGGCTATCTAAGCACAATCCTGAGCTCGAAGCTTCCGGTCTTTCTGATCCTGTAGTGTTAATTCAAAACCAGAGGACATCATCAAAGCTCTGGTTTCACAACAGATTTTGTCCCAATGGCAAGCTGCTGTCTTGTTTCAGGCTTGGAAAAGAAACACACAGGTGAGTAAGGCAAGATCTTGAAGAGCAGGAAATAAAGACATGACAAGATCTAGAACCAAATGTGGGGGGCAGGGGGCTGAGGGAAAACACTTGCCAATTAAAGGCTTGCTCTTCCTTAAAGGAATTCTGTGGGGACATCCAAGGATCAAAACACAGCAGCATCACTTTCTCTTCCATTGCCCCTGGCCTGTATCCAGATACACAGGGCTGCAATAGGAAGCCACTTTGGTGAGAGCACTAGGATGGGAGCAGGAGGGGGATCAGCACATTCCCCACCCTCACTAGAGGGTTTCTACATCTAATGTTTTCCACTGTCATGTCAGCAGTCTAAAAATGATTACATTCTTGTGTAAGAACGACATAAACTTATCTTTCTGAAACAGGAAGGGAACAGGTGAGAAATGGATGATGGGGGTGGGTAGGAGATGTCTTTGTGCCCTTCTGGCTAAGTGCAGTTGGGTGCCAGCAAATAGCCCTTGCTGAACCCCACCATTCAGTAGCTACCCAGGGTGTGAGAGAATACATAGAATTCTATGTGATTATAGCTTCTAGTGCATATGTCAACAACTATATACAGGGATCTATAAATTAAATGCATGTCTGGCCACTGCAACTAGGTACCTGAGCTCCACTACTTTTGGTGCTCTCTTCTTTTTGAGAGCCTCAGCTTATTTTAAAAAAAGAGCCCCTACACAGCTCCCTCCTTCCCCTGAGTCTTGGGGGAGGTTAGCCCAAGTCACCCCCTGCATGTAGGATTCACCCGAGCTATCGGAAGGGTTGGGTGCTCGGTTCTCCCCACCCTCCCCCATTCCCCTTATGGCTCAGGGCCCTGGCGCAGCACGGTGTGGGAAGATCAAACCCCGAGTCCCCGGCGAATCGTGGTCCCTTGGCTGAAGATCCGGTGGTGCGTTCCCGGCTACCGGGGCGAGCTGGCGATCGCAGGAGAGTTGGGGGGCGTTCACTTGCGCAGGGATCCCGTGGGCTCCGGAGCCCGTCCTGCAGCAAAGTCCTGCCTCTGGGCTTGGGGAGGATGGTTCCCGACCTCCCCGCGCGCGGAGAGGTTCAACGACTCCGAGGCGCTGCTGCCTCCTCTTCGTCCTCGTCCAGCCCCTGAGGCCGCTCGAGTGGCCCGGCCAGGAGACTGTCTGCCGCGGGCTCCGGGGGCTCGGGCCGCGCCGCCTGCAGCGGGGGCGCGTCGCGCGGCGCCTCACGGCGGGACGACCTGGTGCTGTTGGGCCCCGCAGCCGCCCCCGAAGTCCCGGACGGGCCGGTGGCGTTGGAGCCGCCGGGAGGCGGGCCGGCAGCTCCCCCCGAGGTCCCGGCGCCCACCGGCTGCCAGATAAGGCTGTAGTAGACCGCGAGCACGATGGCGGCCAGCGACACGGAGAGCACGTAGGCGAACACGGTGGCGAGCCGGACCCACTTCTTGTTGGTCTTGGCCGCCATCTTCGCCTTCTTGTCCCCGGTGTAGGTGGCCGGCTTGCCCCGCTCGGCCGGGGCCGCGTCGCGCTCCTTCATGGGGGGGCCCCGGCCTTTGCCCCGGTGCTCCACGGCCCCGGCTGGAGGGGGCCTGGCGGCCTGCGAGGACTGGGCAGGGGGCGGCCCGGCGCCCTCGGTTCCTGGCGGGTCCGCACTCCGCCGCCTCTCCTCACGCCGCCCGCCCGCA